AAATCCTGTTTTCAAATTGAGTAAATCTTCTAAGGATTTTCAGTTTAAAAATGTGGAAAGCTACTTGGCAGAAGTTCCCAGTTAGATTCAACTCTCAAGATTTACTGATGCTACATTAGTGTTAAAACGGGCTTTGCTTTTCTGGCTATTATTTTAGCTTTAAGACTTAAGATAATTGAAGCTACTACAAGGAGATTCATTTAGAAGTGAAAAAGAAATAAAAAAAAATGAGTAAAAAAATCTAGCTCTTGAGGCTCCTTGGCTCAGCCTTGTTCATTTCTGTCATTGTGACTGGTCATTAATTATTTTGGTCTTCTCATTATAGATTTGTGGTGTTTTGTCCAGATTTCCCCCCTTTTCTTCCCCCTTCACATTAATGTTTTTATATCTTCATATGAATTTGTCTGAAATCTCCGTCTTTTGGAAGTTGTTCGATGATCAACAAAGTTCTTTATCCACATCTCTTGCTGGCCCCTCTCTACCTTTTTTCCCTCCTGCCAAGGCAAGGATCTAACTGAGTTTGGAAGCTTTTCCTTAGCCCCTTACATTTTTCGTGAGTATGCTAAGTCTTTTGCAGGATGGGACAACCAAATCAGCTGAAACAGAAAGTACTGGTGAAAGATATAATAAACTGAGCAGCAGTTGTGATTTGGTTCTGCATAACACGGATGAAAAAGGAGAGCAATCTGAAAACAACAACTTATCTGAAATGATCACTGGTAAAAGGGAAAAGATTTTCGAGGTACAACTTAATTGATATAGTAGTATTTATTTATGTTGGTTGGATTGCTAGTTTCAGAAATTTGTCCTGGCAATCACACTTTAGATCTAATTATTCATCCCAAAGGCTTAGATATACTTGAGGAATCTTGGAATTTCAAATCCTACTTTTGCTCATATTTAAACCCTCTTTAAGCGTCCTTATATTCTTTATTTTGCTGTTGGCAAAAAAAAGTTTCCATTGCTCTAAAAAACGGCTTTGCTTTTCTGGCTATTATTTTAGCTTTAAGACTTAAGATAATTGAAGCTACTACAAGGAGATTACATTTAGAAGTGAAAAAGAAATAAAAAAAATGAGTAAAAAAATCTAGCTCTTGAGGCTCCTTGGCTCAGCCTTGTTCATTTCTGTCATTGTGACTGGTCATTAATTATTTTGGTCTTCTCATTATAGATTTTGTGTGTTTTGTCCAGATTTCCCTCCTGCACAAGGCAAGGATCATACTGATTTGGAAGCTTTTCCTTAGCCCCTTACATTTTTTCGTGAGTATGCTAAGTCTTTTGCAGGATGGGACAACAAATCAGCTGAAACAGAAAGTACTGGTGAAAAGATATAATAAACTGAGCAGCAGTTGTGATTTGGTTCTGCATAAACAGGATGAAAAAGGAGAGCAATCTGAAAACAACAAGCTATCTGAAATTGAGCAACTGGTAAAAGGGAAAAGATTTTCGAGGTACAACTTAATTGATATAGTAGTATTTATTTATGTTGGTTGGATTGCTAGTTTCAGAAATTTGTCCTGGCAATCACACTTTAGATCTAATTATTCATCCCAAAGGCTTAGATATTACTTGAGGAATCTTGGAATTTCAAATCCTACTTTTGCTCATAGTTAAACCCTCTTTAAGCGTCCTTATATTCTTTATTTTGCTGTTGGCAAAAAAAGTTTCCATTGCTCTAATTCTTTATTTTTTTTAATTGACACCACCATGTTAGGAATTGATGCCATTTCAATATGCTTGCATGTTAGTCTAGGTTTCTTTTTTGGAGAAGTTTTGAATTTATGGCTTTATCAAACCTTTGAGAAGTGTTACTAATTTGTTATAATGATTCCTAAATCATGATCATGCCTAAAACTTTGTCCTTCTGATGCAGAGACGAGGTTCACCATTTGATGGAGATAATAAATTTGAGGGCAAGTGAGCTTCCTAATGTTGTACAAGGAGAGGAAAACGCTAGCCTAACTGTTAGAAATGACAACAAAGGAATTGTTGTGTCACATGATGATCCAAACATATCAAATGAACAAAAACACGAAGACTTGACTGGAGCTTTATGGGGAAGCTCAACACGTCTTGATCGGTCAAAGGTGGGTACTGCAACTTGTCTTTATAAATAATTGACATTTGCTGGAAGATCAATATCTTTGTCTAAAAGAAAAATTATCTTCAATTTGTTTTTTTATTAATGGTTCAACTGCACTTTTGTTTTCAAACTACTGGTAACTGCCCTCGAATATTGACAAGCACAGAACCTTGGACTTCTATTCTGGGGTTTGTTGCAGTGATTGCCTCCATAAATATTATTTTGTCCACTAGATAGCATGCGATTCAAAACACTGTGCATTGTCCCTATCCCATTAATACATTCTTCCATGGTCTATCTAGGTGATGCTTGAGACAAACTGAGCATTTTGTTCATGTTTTACTACTAAAGTACTTGAAAATAGGGTAGATATGGATTGCTTGTTTGTCACACTTTTCCACTGTGACTCAGAAATGATTTACCATCCTATTAAGTAGTTTTTATTAGAGAGAGAAAAGCTGCAGATGTGTAAGTTTAATACTACCATAAAACTATTATTTTTTCTTGGGACTCATTGAGTTCTAATGCAGATGGCCCTAATCATTGAGTTTATATTATAATCATATAAATGACTTTCAGGTCCAAGATGATATTGGTGCCTCACCAGTTGAGATTGCAAAGGCTTATATGGGTTCCCGTGCATTTGAAGTAGGCCCCAGTTCTAAGAGCACAGTCCACACTGTTGAAAGCGGCATGCTACATGGTAATGAAGCTGCTATAAAGCCATATGTTCCATCACTTTCACCAAAGACGTCAGCATGTTGGCCAGGTGTCATGGTGCAAGATTCTTACACAACACCATTAAGCCAAAGTAGGGGATATGGCCTTCATAACTTCCCCAGAACGCCTTATTCTAGAACAATTTTATCAAATCCAAGTCCAGGGTACGTTTTGTTTGAAGAACTTTACCTTTTACACCTTTTACTTTGATGCTTCAAAGATTTTCTGTTTATGGAATTATGATTTTGTTTTGTTTGTCCAGTCAATTCAAATGCAAGGCAATAACAGTCATATGTCATCAACTCCCCTCCATCAATCACAGACTACTTTGTATCTGCAGGTATCTTTTGGTTTACCAATTATTTCTTGATTGTCTTTAAATAGGGATGTTTCTTTTGTTAATTGAAGGATTTTTAAACCAGACTCTATTTGGATTTTTGTTCGTTTTCTGGTTTATTTGATGTGTCGGAATATGAACAAATTCAAGATTTTAATTTTTCAATGACAAGGAAAAACTTTGTTATCCCTTCACCAAAAAATAGAAAGAAAGGAACAAAAGGGGAAAAAGAACCAAAAAAAAATGTTATCTTACATGTTGTGTTACGTTTTTGTAACTTTGACATTTTATTAGTCAGTTATAACCGTTGGTTATCAGCCGTTGGGTGAATTTAGCGGTTATATAGATACTTTTATGTTTCATTGTATTGGTGTGTGATCAATAGACTTCAGTATTATTTAGTAAGTTCTTGCCTCTCTTTTCTCTCTTCCTCTTCACCCTCGTCTCTCATTTTCTTTAAACCTTCATCTGTTCTTCTCTCCTCCTATTCTCTTTCTACATCTATTCTATTCCCTTCTATTATTACAAATGTATATCAATGGTATCAGAGCCGGTCATCCTTGGCCATGGCACACCATTCATTCCAAGAATATGAGGATGACCACTAGCTGTGGCTTCGTCAGCAGGGGAGTGTGAAAGAATTCAATGAATTCTTTGATAGCCACACCAGCAAGTTAAAATTACAAGAAAAATATTTGGTTTTTGCGTATATGGCTGGGCTTAAACCAGAACTTGTAGAACCAGTGCGTCTCTTCAAACCAAGAACGATGCAAGAAGCTAGAAGTCTTGCAAGAATGCAAGAAATCATGCTAATGCGTCAGATAAAAAAGAAGGCACAGGCACTTCAAGATAATTATCGATCACAAGAGTTTTTGGAGAAGGATGAAGTAGGTACACCTCTACAAGATTGTGGGAATCAGCAAGCCAAGAATGGCATTCAAAGGATTCCGTAACTATAACAAGGCAAGAACTGCAAGATGATTGCAGTGATTCAAGAAGGTTTCTTTGTGCGAGTTGTAGAGTAAAGTAGGCTCAATCATCTCTAAACATGACTCCTTAAGCTCTTTAGCTGTTGGTGTGGGTAAAACCGTCAGTCTAGACTTTAGTTTGGGTACCAAACACTGTTCGAAACATCAATGTTGGCCACTTGAGCCTTCGCCACACTCTGTTCCAACTTTCTCTTCATCTTTGTTTCTGATCAACCCATCGTTACCTATTTACGTTTTTTCTGCCGCCACCACAAACTTCTCCATTGCTGTCCTTTGTTCCTTGGGTGTCATCGTTGCTGTCTTTGCTGGTTTCTCCATTGCAGTCGATTCTGTAACTTCAAATGCTTCATGGCTATTTGCTCCATCATCACCACCCCTTTTTGTCTTCTTATCAACGTGTGTTTGTCTTACCCGTACCCATTTAAAGACTCTAGACTTCTCACAGCTACAGAACCTGGGTGAACTTTTCACAGCAGGGAGGGCATGTGAGAGTAAGCTTCAGTGGGTTTTTTTTGGGGTCTGCACACATGGGAGCATGGGTCAAAGACAGCTGTCTTTCATTTCAAGTGGGTGTAGTTTTAGTGGATGGCAGCTAACACCGATAGTCAATACATGGGTTCAAGTTTCAAGAAAAAAAAAAGGAACTACTCCCTGATTTTTCTGTTCAGAATGTCATGCGGCTAGGTCCTAAAAAGTCAAAAGCTATTCTGCCATGTAGGTGGAAGCTTCAGACACATAAGCTGGACCTTTCATCCTTACTGAACCTGAACCAGCTTCTGAATTGGGATAATTGCTTGGGCCCAATGTCACTCAAAGATGTTACAATCAACCCATTGAAAAATCTATCTTGTTGGGCTTTTCTTTGTCTTCAGCTCTTCCCTGCCCACTTATTTGTTGTTCTATGGTACAGAGGAGGTTGACTAAAAATGCTTTTGGGCTCAACTCATTATTTCCATTTATTCAGCAGTGTACAGTCGCAGTGAACAGTGACAGAGAGCAATGACAGTAGCTTTTAAGAGTTTAATGTTTTTTTCCCCCCAATATTTCAGCATGACCTTTGGGGGCAAAGGTCTTTTGGGAGGGGGGTATTGTTATGTTTTTGTAACTTTGATATTTTATTAGTTAGTTATAACCGTTGGTTATTAGCCGTTGGGTGAATTCAACAATTATATAAATACTTTTATGTTTCATTGTATTGGTGTGTGGATCAATAGACTTCGGTATTATTCATAAAGTTCTCACCTCTCTTTTCTCTCTTCCTCTCCACCCTCTCGTCTCTCATCTACTCTAAACCTTCATCTGTTCTTCTCTCCTCCTATTCTCTTTCTACATCTATTCTATTCTCTTCTATTATTAAAAACGTATATCATGTTGAGGCTATAGGTTCTTATTTGTCTTGGTGATCTTTTGAAGTATAAACTGGCGTAATTCTTAATGCTGAATAGGAAATGAGACTCTTTTCTGTTTTCATTTAACATGTTAAATTCTGATAATATAAGTTAGCATGAGAAATTGGAATGGTGTCACATGCTAAGTTTAAAGCCATTCTAACCTATCAAATACAATGAACATGCAAGTGGGCTTTACTGACATCCCCTTTCGTCGTTTGGGAGTGTATGACAGAGTTTCATATCTCTGACTGAACTTTTTGCGTTTTTGTTAATTTTTTATTTTGTTTTCAGTTTATTGTATGTCAGATAGTTTGCTTAACTACGTTATGCAGGATAAATCTAGAGTTGATGCATTTGAGGGTGGTTATGGATCTGTTGGACCCATCCGTCAATTAGGCACAAGGCTGGTGCACAATCTTCTTCAAGAAGGCCAGCTTACACACCTTCACCTCTGAATGGCCCGGCCAGGAGGGAAAGTTCAGATGTTCATGAAGGTTTCTTGCCTGCTTTTACAAAGAATTTGGAACCTGACAAGACTGGCGACACTCATAAATTCCACTCATTAGATAACAAGCCACAGGGTAGTGGGGTTGCTCTTCCAACAGTGCACATGCATACCAGTTTGATGGCTAGGAGAATATTGGAGCATATTGATAGAAATCCTCCCACTCCTCAACAGAAATCTGCAGAGCTGAATCTGGCCACTAAATGGAAGAATCCCGAGTCTTCTGTTAATGCCAATGGTGTCTTGTCAAATGAAAATAATGGCTTTCTGAAATTAAAAGATGCCAATTCATATAAATATGATGGGTATGATGGAAAGAAATCCACTCTAAATGAAATTCAAGGGAGCTCCCATGTTGATAGTTTGAGTGCTGATAAATCTATCAATGTCAACAATGCAACATCTTTGCCATCTGGAATCAACGTTGGCAGTAGCTTCCTGAAAATTGGAAGTGATGCAAGGTCCTTGCAAAATACTAATGGCGCCCAAAATTTTCCAATGAAATCTACTGAAGAGGTACTCAATCATCTGACGGGCATGGAAACTTCTTATTTGTATTATGACATTTTCATTTTTTTTTTCCAATGGGCATGGAAATTGTTACTTTATGGTTTTCAATTTATTGAAGATGATTCTTGTTGTGCCTTGATTTACTTTTGAAAAGACATCACATTTTTTCTTAGATTTATTAATCTTTGTGCAGGATGCATCGAAGATTGTCTCATCTGTTAATCAGCCTAGTGTGAAAATTCAAGAGAAGATACCTCTGTCCAACTACTCAATTGGAAAACCGGTATTACCATCTATTAACATCAACAAGCCTGAGCCAAAGTGGACCTTGGCATCTGATAGAAGCTCAGGATTTACCTTCCCGGTTTCTGCTGCCTCTTCTGTATTCTCCGAGCCACCTACACCATCCATCGTGCCATCGTTCTCCACTGGCGGTGACCGCCAATCAAAAGAAATTGCTACTGAACCTTCATATAGTTTTGGATCCAAAAGATCAAGTCCAGCTCTAGTGTTCTCTTTCCCTTCTACAAGCAGTACTGCTGTTCAGAATGACGCTGGTGACATAAAGTTCAGCTTTGGGTCCAATGATAAGGCTAGGCTTTCATTTAGCTCGTTTGGTACGAATGCCGTCTGCTGAAACAGGGGAATTTAGGTTTCATAAGTTTTCCGATCTATTTTTTCCCTCAGGCTAATAGGCTTTCTTTTCTTTTCTTTCTTTCTTTGCTTTTTTTTTAATACTCTTGTTGCCCATCCTCTTAGCTGTTTGTACAGGCACTCTTGCTTTTGTTTTTCGACTGAAGATACGAGTGAATTAAAAATTAAGCCTTTTTGAAGGGTTACAATTGAGTCTGTCTATTGTCTTTTCCACTGACCTGCTGGGCTTGTTGGAAGACTAAAATGTAAAATATTGATAAGCAGGTGATTTCTTATCACGTCGGTAGAAGTATTTTGTCTTGCGACACGAACCTGACCTGCCTGCAAATTTGTATCAGGGACCTCGGATTTTGACCTAGGATTCCAAAGCAGTTTATCCACCTAAAAAACCATTGCAAGTCATGTAGTTCGTTATATTTGTGTGGCCCAGTCAGAACAGAGAAGAAAACATCAGAATAGAGAACTTGGCTTATGCCTTCAGGAACGAGCCAGCTGACTGGGGCTTACAAAAAGTGCATATAGGCACATCGTTCTGAGCTTTAATTGAATTTTCGTGAATGGCATGAAATTTTAACCCGAGGGTCAGCTTCTACGAAAGTATAAAAGCCTAGGCAACCGTACTCATCTGTCTCCTCGGACCGAACAAACTACTCTAAGCTTGCTCTATCCTCAACAACGCTCCTTATCAACATTAGGTTCAAGCTCAGTGTGGATGTCAGTAGTGTTGGTAACCTCATTCATTAAGGTGTTGGAAATTAGTAGCTTGGATCTTCCACAGTAGTGCTGGATCGGAGAGGCATTAGCAAAGAGGAGCATATGGAGTCAGATTTATTTATTTATTTATTTATACATATCCCTTTCCCCCCGTCCTGTCTCCCGCAGCATTACATGGGGTAAATTATTACGAAAACTGGAGAACAGTTGGTATTAGATGTGTAGAACCCGGGGTGATCCATGTCCGAGGTAAGCTCTGCGTTCTCAGTCTCACTTAGGAACAAGAGTTATTAATTTATGTATATACTATATAGAGTTTCATCGTAAGTGGGCTCCATAGAGAAGAGTCTCGCCCGTGGCTGTCGTGCTGTGTTGTAATGTTGAGCTCCCAAGAAAGATGGGGGAAGCAGGCAATGAGTGAGAAGAAGGATAGGAAGAAGAATCCAATGCAAGGAAATGAGTGTGGGTTGATTGGAAGGATTGAGCAAGTTGAGGCATGGCATGGTAGCGGGAATTCCTCTGGGACGTTGTGGTCCTCTTCCTCACGAGACGCGAGAGTGCCACGCAGGTGCTATGGCCTTCACAAAAAGCAGTAATTTGGATAATACATGACTTACCTTGCCTTGCCTTGCCGCTCCTTTGCCCTCAGGAATCACCATCACGTGCTGCTATAGTTTTTCACGACACTTATCTGCTCCATCCTTTTCACCCCTCCCTCTCACTCGGTCCCCACCTATATTTGATCACTTCTCCTTCACTTACATGCTGCTACCCAGTCAGAGCTATCACAATCACCTCTTCTGAATTTGCTTCAACTCATTTATTACGTGTTCCAACACTTGCCTACTTGGTTCTATCAGGTATGATCTTCAAATTATTCACAAACGTACACTTGCTTCAGCCAATTGGATCAACATTTAAGGTTCTCTTGGCTGGAAATTAAAACGGGATCAGATTCATTTGAGTTTACGAGTTCCGGGATAAGACATAGAGATTCATAATATTGAGGTGAAGAGAGTTCAATTCGCTCCTTGAAATATATGCTCCATAAGAAATATACTAGTGTGAATGATTATCTTTATAATCCTCTTTGAGAGGGTAGTGGCTGCATTCTATAAAAATAAGTTTCAGGGCCTCCAATAAGTGAAGGGAAGAGATTTATTAACACGGTCCTATAAAGATATTTCGATTTTAATTACCGTCTACAATGTGCTATGGAAATTGATAAAGGTTGCTCATGTTTAATACTAGGGATGTGAGAAAAAGGGGAAAAAAAACGGAAATTAGAAAGGCTAGAGGAATGATGCTGGTGAGAGTTACAAGGAGAATGAATATAGAGAGAGAGAGGGTGAGAGATACAAGGAGAATGAATAGAGAGAGAGAGAGAGACAGGAAGGCAAGGAGAGTTTGATACGGAGGAGGTTAGGGGGTATTTTTGAAGTATAAAGAGCTCAGAGAGAGAGAGAGAGAGATTTTTTTTTTTGGGGGGGGGGGGAGGGTGAAATGACAATGAAAAAAAGTGAAATGCATAAAACGTACAAACTGTGATATTGACGTTTCAGATTCTAATTGTCAGAATGAGCAGCCTATACACGCTGCGCCAATACGCCCAGAATTGCAGTCATACGTACTCTCTCTCTCCTCCTTTCCCTTTCCCTTCTTTTTCCTCTTTGCTTTTCTCCATTCCCCCATCCCCAGATTTCGATATACTGACTGTTCTGCACAGAAAATATACGCACATATAATATTTCAAGCAACATAAATTTGTTGCCACTATCCCTCTTGAGAATCCCGACAACCGCTACTTCTAGTTTTATATTGCACTCACTATATATATAACGTATCAAGCGACCTCACTTGTTTTCTGCTCGCAAAATTTTTTCTCTTTGGCACCACAAACTATCATTTCCGCTGATGATATGTTCTTAAAATGAGAATATATATATATATATATATGCATGATACAACCCGAATTTAATACGAGTGAGATAGGATTGTTTTGGTGGCCGGACACTGGACAGGGATACACTTCTTTATTTAGAGAAGCACTTGTAATGACCGTTATAGGAACCTTTGACTGTTCACAGAGAGAGAGAGAGAGAGAGCGCGAGCGAGCTGGGTGGGTTGGTCAGAATGGAGTAATGAATGTTGTAACCACTAAGTTGAAAGGTGGAAGGTGAGAAAGTGATTGAATACATATGAGGTTTGATATTTTTTGGGGAAGAGATTCTTGGGACGTTCAGTATAATTGATGATGCGATGAGAAGATAGATAGAAAGGAGAGCAGAGAGGATTCCATAATGCCAAAACGGTGGTCCAGAAATTTCCTTTACCAAAAGGTCATTCATTCATTCATCTTTATTATTTATCAGTTGCATCAGCCTGACCATATCTTTCCTCAGATTTTCTCTCTTTCAATTTATGTTGTGGGCAAAAGCAGCCCTCTTTTTCTTCTTCTGGTCCTACCCTCTTCTCTCCCCTTTTATGCACACATATCATCAAGCCCTATTGTTCCCATTATATTTATCGTAATATCAAAGAAGAACCTTACAATTGGTTAATTTATCCTCAACCCTACCTAAAGAATGATATCACATCCCTTGCTTTAATTTCGATAACTTCAGGTCCATGCGGGACAAACCCAAGTAATTAATTAAAATTTTAAAAAGTCAGTCAAGATTCTTAATATGTTATTAATTAAACCTAAAGAAAATTTTTATGTGTGTGAGAGCATGCAAATGATTTAATTTGTCTCTCTCATTTTTCTTGCCCATGTTCATCCAACTTAAGGACGTGCTTGAGGTGGTACCGACTGTATAGTTTAGAAAGGTATAGTGTCATGAAAGTTTATAATCAACTGTGGATGATCCTTCTTTTCGATCGTATATATCTTGTATTTGTACCCTGAACAGAAAGGAATATATCCGAAAATCAACTTGAAGTCCCTCGAAAGTAGCATATAAATTAGCATGTTGTGACATTTTCATAGACAAAAAAATACAATATCTTCACATAACAGGATTAATTACAATGCAAGCTAAGCTAATATTATCCGGATGACTAGCTGGCTATAATATTTTTTCTATATATATGTAAGCTATATAATAGCTGTAGACAATTATCCTGAAAAAATTAACTGCTACATGTATGTCATAATTAGGATTAATATTTTACATATATACACATTTAATTTTCATGTAAAACTTTACCTCCTATATGTCCTATGATATATATGTAATATGATCACCCAAATCAAGCCAAGAAAATTCATTATTAAGAACTCTTCCAGGAGGAGTATCATTGACAGTACTATTAATTTTTATAATCGATATTATGAATGTCAAAAAATCATGGTTAGTTTCACAAATATATAGAGCTTGTCTCTTTTCTTCCTGAGTTCTCATATGACAAGTAAAATAGCAGATAAAAATTCGAAATAAATATATACTTCTTACGTTTGTGTTTTTCATGTTGGATTTTTATTATGCGTATATATCTACCAGGTGTTGTTGAAGACGATAAAAAACTAAGAAAAATATAGGAAGGATTGTTACATAATGACAGATGTAAAAAACGTCCACTGAACAAATAGTAAGAGAGAGATGGATACAACAAGTACGTACACATATACTGATACAAAGGAAAAGAGCTAATTCATAAAAACACATTTAAGTGACGACCACAATAATTGTTTACTAGTAATTGATACACTCAAGGTAACTGATAGTCATCTCGTCAAGCATCTTCAGATTTTGACATTATAAATAGCCTTTTTCTTTTCATTTGTTCAAAAGTGCTGCCCTCGTCATTAAATGCTTCTCAGTCCCCTGCACGCGCACACACACACTCTCACATATAATTCAAAATAATAGCATGGAATGAATTTTTGTCAACACCAATATACATTTAATATAATTAATATATATATATATATATATATATTTTTGTCATGCTATACTGTTTCATTAGTTTAAAAGTAGTCATTAGCTGCTCCACTGCCTTTCTTTGGACTTTAATTTGATTCTTTTTAACGTCTTGCTTTACATAATGCTGTGCAATCTGATATAATGTGTGAAAAGGGAAAAGTATAAGTGAATGAAACAGTGCAACATTTTTAATAATTCATCATAGCATTATTTAATTGTTTCTAAATATTTTTTTATGGGTTATATCTCCATTATATTGAAAGAGTTGATAACTAATGCTTGAGAATTACACTTGAGTTTTCTTTCTAATTAAGAAGACTGCCTTATACTGTACTATCGATATATAAATATAACTGAAAAGAGGAAAACAAGATATGTATTGCTTTTAATATATACTTACATTCTCCACCTTAGCTTGATCGTTGGCATCCAACATCAGCCCAAAATGAATATGAGGGAAGTGTGCCCACTAAAACAAAATAGTCGCCACTTAATTAATCAATATTGGGATGAATCAACGAGAAGAAGATGCTTATATATGTATATGTAGGCATATATCTATATATATTTCAAATTCATCAATTATTTGCAAGGCAAAGTATAAAACTCACGTTCTTCGCAGCTGTACTGAATGCTTCCCGGTGACTGATATCTGGATTATTAGCCTTAATCCTCTGAATCTCTTCCCTGCATATGAACAAAGATGTTTCGGTTATATATCCACATGAAATAATTAAATTATAAGTATTTTGCTTATTGAATTATGAATCATGTTAATGTAGATTGTGATACTGTGATATGCATTTGCTAGCTTACTTTATGAACTGATTATAGGCAGAAGGTACGCGCTGCCTCTTCTCGGGAGCTGCAATAGAAAACAACACATCATATAAGACACTGTATATAATATTAACTTAACACTCCCACACAAAGGTTATAAATATGTGTGTGTGTGTGTGTGTGTGACAGTGCATGATATCATATGTATATATATATATATATATAAAGACTTTTTAGTTTGAAACTAAAAGGTTACAAAGACTCACGCCGGTTCGCAATTCTTTCCTTGGTTACATGATTGGTGGGTGCTCTCATTGCGATCATATTATTGTTGCATTTGGAAGAGGAACCTGTGTCGATTCTATATTCCGGATTGTTGTACCCAGGCGACTGATATTGAAACCCAACAGGCTTTTTGATTAATAACATGCATGTAGAGAAAAAAGAAAAGGAAAAACAAGCTAGCTTCATACAGACACACATATAGACATGATGTTTTGGCTATGTATATAGCCAGTAGTTTAGTTTTGTGCTGAAATTGAAAAAGAGCACTCATTCAGTAAAATAAAGGGAAGAAATTTTTATTTTCTCAAAGAGAGCTTGCTAGCTAGATATTTAATGATGCATTCATTATATTGATCAGGTGAGCTATTGCATAATATATTTTCATTATGATCAGCGTTTTGTGTATGAAAATGTTTACATGTATTAGCAATAAATGGTGCGGCAGTCACAAAAACAAAACTCATTAATTAAATTCAATGGGAATTTATTAAACTAGGTGTTTTAACGTAATTGGTTAGGGCACTTTGACACAATCATTTCAGTCTGTTATCATTTACTCTTTTGTACCAGTAATAATGAATTATTCCTATAAATTAATTACCGGGGCCCTATTGACAGTGTAGGTATGAATATGATTAACGTTCGCTCCAGAGTCCAGATGGGAAAGGAGGGCTTCTTTTCTCTTTTCTCTCTCTCTCTCTCTCTCTCAGGCACAAAAATTTTCTAACCCTTGTCAAGAGAAAGAATAATAAAAACTATATCGAAGTGAAATGGAATCTTTGATTTCTGAAGAGCAAACACAATGGGTATCTGACTAATTCTGTGATCTTACTTTGGTAATCATTACTCCCTCTATTTTTATTTATAAAAAAAATTATTATTTTTATTTTATTTTTATATAAGTAAAATCACATTTTTAATAAACATTTAATATAAATTTTTTAAATTATCTCTCATAATTTTATCATTCATAGTCATAAAAGATAATTAATGAAGGTTTGATTAGTAAATCTATGAAGTGTATATTATAGTCTAATTCTTTTATTTATATACACAATTTTTATAATTAACTGATTTCTTAAATATGTAATTCAGTTTTTTTCCTTACAAATAAAGATAGACGGAATACTGGTTTTGGGAACAGATTTAGTTAGATATCAGGAAGTTGTTTGAGCAGTAGATTAGTCTGGCTGGAAGAGAAGACTAAATCACTAATCAGAGATGAATAACAAAAAGTACATAAAGCTCAGATTGACAGTTGTTCAAATTAATGCAGGGCTTCGATTAAGAATCTGAAGGGAATATTTAAAATGAAAAGAGAAGGAAATCACAAAACCTGTGCAAGGGCTGTTTGCATAGTAGAAGACAAAGATCATGAAAAGAAACTGAACTTAAGAACTCTCCCTCTCACCCATGTCTATCAAATCAAGGCATCTTGGAAAGCATAAAAATAATAATAAAAAGAAACCCAAACCCTTCAATTTGGCTTGAAGGGGTTAGGGACAGACCCTGACGACTCTACTAAAAGTGCTGAAACAAAAAAGGGTCATAGGCTTGATTATGGCGGCTGCAGGTGCTCTAGGGTTTTCAGCAGAAAACATAACACGCTAGATTTCATAGCATTCACTACAGAAACACACACAGAGAGAAGATACCAGAGAAGTGAGAAGTTCAAGGCCAAGAGCTTCGATTTTCTCAAAAATAGAATATAAGACCCAGAAACCCTAGGATTCAGAAATCATAAAGAAGCTAGCCAAATAATTATCATGCGATTATTATATATTTATCTGGTGATTATGGTATTACATTTTAGAGAGATGATGGAAGTGAAAGAGAAAGCCCCCTGAAAATAAGCTGAAACTAATTAGTTAGAAATGTGAGTAACCTGAACATCTTGCCATGACAGTGACTGAAACGCAGCAGCCATGTTCACTGACCACAGATTGCTGCAGTGTCCACATCGAACGGTCACTATGTCAAGTAAGCTACTGCATGGAACACTCACCTGCATACAAAAGCATACATTATAACTTGAGCCTAATTATTATTTATTTATTTCTTTAAAGAAAATATAATGAAGGTTTGAAACCGCCCACCCCCGAAAGGAAAATATAAATCTCTTGCAAAAGAAGAAACCCAGAGATCACATATATGAGAAGAAGGGGTCGATGAAGAAGACGAAGAAGAAGAAAAGAAAACCCTAGAAAGCTGCCAGATGCACAATGGATTAAAAGGTATTATCAAGGGATGGATATATGACCTAAGGATTAACAGATTTTCATAAAATTTGCTGTTGAGCGAAAGAAAGTTGAAACAGGAAACTATGCTTAGTACTTTTATCATAAGGGAAAGGTAAATTAATTGGGTCAGAGGGCAGGAAGATAAAGGAAATCAAATGTGCAGAGAGAAGGAGTTGTCCTATCAACAGTTTCTCATTTACCATATAATACTTATCGTTTTGGCCATATCATTAAGAGGTGCAAAAACCACAGAACCCAAAATTTCTTCACTTTCTCTGTGTGCACAGAGAAAGAAAGTATGTTTGTAGGGGATCAGTTGAGTGATGAGCTTCAGGGCATGACTTTTTCCTTTGACAGTAAAAGAAAAGAAAAGAAAAGAAAGAAAGGTGCAGCGATGGACGGAGACCTCACTTTAACCACAAATAAAGGGAAAGAGATTAATGAAAGCCCAGCTACACAGAGAAATTTAAATTTTAGTAGTAATAATAACAATAGCTTGATGTCAAACAAAAAAAAAAAAAATGACCGGCCACTTCTAGGTTCGCATGTAAAGCACATAAGAGTAGCCTCCTTTTTCAGGATCTAACAGAGTTCTTTCTTCCCTTAATAACCAGAAACTACAAAAATATTTGTATAAGGTGCTTGAAAAAGCAGATCGATCTCCCACTAAAATCAAATTAATTAGAAAGGAAGGAAGAGTTTTGGGAAATTCATGAGAAGAGTTGATACCGCAAGAACAATGTTGCAAAAGTTGCAAGGGATGTAGCAGAGTTGCTCAGGGGCAACATCGATGCTGCAGCTCGACATTTCTCTCAACAGGGAATTAGAAATTACAGAAGAAGAAAGACAAGGGGAAGAAGGAGAAGGGGAAGAGGAAGAAAAGAAAACAATATGCAATAAGCAACAAGGAAAAGCCTTTATTCTCTCTTTCAAGGCTATGTATGTCTAACAACAGTAAAAGTGGATGGTGCTGTATATATAGATTTAGAGAGAGTGGGAAGAGAGGGAGGGGGGGGGAGAGAGAGAGAGGTGTTAGTGATGGAATCCAAAGGGAAAGAGAAGATGGAGAGGGCAAGGGAAAATGATTAATAATATAATATTATACCAAAAAAAATAAAAGTGGTTTTAGAAGTGCCTACGGCAGGCAGCTGAAATTGCTGGGACCGGCAAAGCAAATAAGAGAAAGTGGTGGGTTTGGTTTTCCATTTGTGATGGAAAGCAAAAACAGGTTCAATAGGAGAAGAAAAGAAGGTAATCCAATCACCTTTAACTATATATATGTTATATGACTTGTATGAGGATATTAATATATATTTAGCTGTTTAGGTAAGAACACAGCTTAGGGTTTTCACTGGGAAAGGTTTTACCAGTTCTGTGCATCTCATAACTTGCATATAAATGTGTGTATAACACCGTATCAGTACTTTGTGTCATGATTGTGATCATTCTCATCCGAACTCTTCAGAACTAGTAGTGTTCAGTTAACATTTTGTCTTTCTTCAACATCATCACCGGGAAGTTTTCACTGGGGATTGAAATATAACCATATAATATAAACGTATTGTTATGGTTTAATTAAGTATATGGATCGCCCCTGCATTGTGCATGTGGAGTCGAAGAAAAGAGCAACATTTTCACAATTGCTACTCACTAGTAATTTTATATTTTATTTTATTGATCGGTGATATGTATTTGTTTTATTTTTTTTTCTTTGGTAGCTTGAGTATTATAGTCTGCAAAATGCGCGCGCGCACATATATATAATTAATTAGTGGATAAATTATATTGAAACAGAATTGCTTGTGACTATTTGTTTACTACTTATTTATTGCTTATGAATATATATGTCATCTTTTAATGGAGTTTCTGCTTTAATTATCCAATGCAAAGGGAAACTTTTTTTTTTCAGTGATTAATTAATTAAAAAATAGAAAGAATAATATTTAAGTTTTGCCTTGTGTCTTGTGTAGATATATATGTTTCAATAATATGTCTAACTAACACAGTAATCTTTTTTTGTGTTTGATATGTACTTTTTTTATTATCAAATTTTAATCAATAACATTAAAATTAAAGTATACAGAGTTATATGACTTGATTGTAATTCACTTAAGCCATTATATACTTAATGAAAAATCGTACACTAATCATGTTCTTGTTGAAAGAATATTTATTATACACTTCATTCTCTTGTCTAATTTTGACAATTTGACAATGACATAAAAATGCATACCTATTTCCATTTTAAAAACTAGATAAAAATTGGCCAATTAAAAGAAAAAAATTATTAAAAATAACAAACATACTTTTCCATAAGTTATGCATGCTTAAAATAATTTTATTGAAAAAATTTAATGACACGCGCATGCTAAAAGTTTTACTTGTTCCGATTTGGTTAATTAGTCACACTTAATTATATCCTATACTTGAACATAAGTGGTTAGCTCAAACTAAGATAGTTTCATTTTCAAGTACTTTTGTCACCGCCTTTATTTCAACGACTAAAAATGAATCACAGACATCTCATATATACTCATCATATATACATCGGAACCCCCAATACCACTAAAAATCCCTCCTATTTACATAATGCTTTTATGCCTCTTTTTTTCACATTCAACAGTTTGATTGAGACTTCCAACCTCATTTTCTTGGTTGTACAACCTCGCAAACCTAGAAATGTCTTTTAGTCTTCAGTCGCAGGTTTTTGTTATTATAATCTTTGAGTTTAAAGATCATCCTTTTGATCCAAAAATCTTGAATTGACAACTACGTACTAAAACAATGAAGGGAAGAAAATGGAGTACGAACACATATAAAAATTATTATAATTATTACTGTTGTTATTATTATTGTGTGTTAGAATATCTAAGTGTGAATGAATTATGATGTGGAGAGTCCCACATTAGATAAACTTGGACTTGCTAATATATAAAATAAAGAGTTAATAAACTTAAATATTAAGGTTTTGTGTTAAGAGGCATGGTCCACTGCTCTTTGTCCTTTGGTTCTCTCCTCCCATTTCTGGGCGCTCCTTGTTCCCATCAATATATGCAGGCTAGGTAAAAATTAATTTTGAGAACTAGATAGACATCTCACAACTAAGTTTTTACATACAAGAAATTAAGATTCAAATACCAAACCACTTGTTTGATGAGAATCTCTACTAATCAAGCCAACTTTAATTTGATATATATTAATATATGTTTTGAAATAAAAAGAAGGCGAAGAGAATGAGGAGGGCGAGATTATTAGGATCTTTTATTTGTGGATATATAGCCATAATAATGGACTGTTGTATTGCTCCTTTAGCTTGGGTCTCTTTCCATGTCTGGTGTAATAAATACTATAGCATCTTCCTTTTGGTATTATTGATAGATGCTCCCTATCTTTCTTTGTTTTTTTTTTTTTTTGGTCATCCCTCTCGAGCAAATCTGGGGTTTCGTTTACGTTTTAAATTTCACTTCGATGCATGGACAAGTTAATGCACACACGTATATTGGTGTTCACATATTAACGCTCATTTATTGTCAATTATGTGTTAACTTGAAAGCAATTTATCAATATAATTTTATATTTCCAGGACTATGGATTGAATTTCGTTCGTTATCATGTTGTAGAAATACTTAACTCTATATAATAAGTAACTAGACATTTTCTGCACGGAACAATATCTTTTTAGATCTCGAGGTATACATGTAACGAAGTGCATTAGCGGTGACAGCTTAATAATTCTTATTCATGTGATTAAGAGAATTTGTTCTTTGTTTGAACCAAATGTTAAAATAACGAAAGGTTTTAGGGTGGGGCATATCTTCTAAATTGGAAAGCAATATACAGTATCACTATTCAATTATCCACAATTCGTTGGATAATAATGTTTTTGCTTGTGAGTAAAGTCAGAAAAACAAGCTAGATCCTACAGGCCCGCCCATTTATTTCTTTAATTTTATTTATAAATCACTTTTAATATTTTACTAAAATAGAAAAAAATTTAAAACTCATTAATTATGTCTTAAAATTTAATAAATCATTAATTCTGTCTCTATTATATATACATACTTTATTTTCTCTCTCCAACATTTAATAAAATATAAAAAGAAAAACTTATGTTGAAAATTCAACAAGATAACTTATAAATGAAACCCAAAAGAAAAAAAAAACTTCTTTCTATGCTTTATAAATAAGAGCAAAGAAAGTAAATATTTTTTGAAGTAATAAATACACTTATTAACTCGGCCCTATATAAAGTCCTAAAAAGCCAGCTCTATAGATTAAATCTTAAGAGCCGACTCATTTAGTCTTGCTTACTTTTTAAAAATATTTTTATGGTTTTTGTATTTAGTAATTATTTGATGTAGACGATACAAATGTAAATATAAAATTTTGGGGATACATGACTCATATAGTACAGTTATTTTAAATACAAATGATAATTAGAATTTTATAGATCCTGAACTTTGATTATATAAGAAAGTTGAAAACCTTAAAATTATTTTTTTAACTATACGTGGGTACGTCCTTTTATATTTTATGGAAGTTTTTATATAAAAATTTAATGTTAAAAAATAATGTGCGTGGGTATGTGAAGGGTCAAGCTATAAAAAAATAGAACCCATAACCTAAGAAATTATCAATGATCTTAATCTCCAATCAAAACTTAATTGTCTCTCTTTTGTAAGGTGTAAGATCAGGAGCCAGATGATGCCTCCCAAAAGTAGACTGAATTAGATTTGATATTGTTAGATCAATCAACAACAATGGTGTTGCATACCTGTGGTGAATTCATTAAAGACAATCAAAGAAATTGAATAAAAGAATTTATAAAATACTTTGGCTATCACCTTAGTATTACATGCTGCTGAACATTTGGATATTCTAGAGGACCTAAGCATATGTTAGAATAACAAATGCACTAAAGTTAATATTTATCTTAATTCTATAGAAGCTCTCACGCTCATTCAATATAACTTCTCTAAGAACCATCCTCTTGTTACGACTTTAATAAATGATAATTTTATATATTTTTATTCTTTTAATTTAGACTTTTAAATATTTATTTGAGGCTAATTGAGTTTAATTAGATATTATTTGATTTTATTAGCCAATATTCAGTTTTAAAATTTTAACTAACTAAATCTTTGATTTTAAATTATAAATAATATCTTTAATATTTTTTACACAAGTGCTATTTAATTTTATTTTATTTATGCAGATTTTTTAGATTTAATTTGAAATATATTAATAAAGAATATTTTGGATCAGAAGAATTTGGGCATGCTTGGAGATTAAATCAATAATTAAATCTTTAAAATTTTGTTTATATTTACTTTAAATATTTTAGTATACTTTTTAATTAGGGTTATTCAGGATAATTTTATCATTTTAATAAATTATTAGATTTTATTTTGTTTTGGAAGAGACACAGCACAGGAGGCGCAGGACATTATACATATTATATATATAAATGAAAGAGAGGACTTGGACAATTATGGGGGATGGAGGCATCACGGAAAAAAAAAAGTGTAGCAGCACTTTTTCTTCAATTTTTTCAAATGGCTTGTCAATTTCTCATCTCATATTTTTTAATTTTTAGTTCTATTAATAGCTAATTTTTTTGATATGATGAATCACAAACTATGATCCTAAATTTTAATTAGAGTCTTTAATATTCAAAGAAAATTTTATTTTAACTTTATTTCAATTTGCTCTTCTTCTCACTACTTCTAAATTTTATGATTTAACTGCTATTTGCTGATTAGAGTAGCTTTATTGCATAATTTTTGAGTTATAAATTTTATTTGAGATTTTGCTTGTTATAATCTATTGATATAGTAACATAAGAGTAATTTGGCCTAGCGTGGATGATTATCCATGCTTTGTTTTTGATATGGCTAACATAAAGCAATTGTTAGGGTGAGTTAAAGGAGATCTCAATTAATCTATAACTTAATTTCTTGTTTAATTCTTGAATGATAATTGAGACATATATAATAAAACTAGAATAATAAAGTT